CAATGACCGCGTGGCTAATCAATGACCGCGTGGCTAACCAATGACTGCGTGGCTAATCAATGACTGCGTGGCTAATCAATGACTGCGTGGCTAATCAATGACTGCGTGGCTAATCAATGACTGCGTGGCTAATCAATGACTGCGTGGCTAATCAATGACTGCGTGGCTAATCAATGACTGCGTGGCTAATCAATCACTACGTGGCTAATCAATGACTGCGTGGCTAATCAATGACTGCGTGGCTAATCAATCACTGCATGGCTAATCAATGACTGCGTGGCTAATCAATCACTGCGTGGCTAATCAATGACTGCGTGGCTAATCAATGACTGCGTGGCTAATCAATGACTGCGTGGCTCATCAATCACTGCGTGGCTAATCAATGACTGCGTGGCTAATCAATGACTGCGTGGCTAATGACTGTTTGGCTAATCAATGACTGCGTGGCTAATCAATGACTGCGTGGCTAATCAATGACAACGTGACTAGTCAATGACTGCGTGGCTAATCAATGACTGCGTGGCTAATCAATGACTGCGTGGCTAATCAATGACTTCGTGGCTAAACAATGACTGCGTGGCTAATCAATGACTGCGTGGCTAATCAATGACTGCGTGGCTAATCAATGACTTCGTCTAATCAATGACTGCGTGGCTAATCAATGACTGCGTGGCTAATCAATCACTGCGTGGCTAATCAATGACTGCGTGGCTAATCAATGACCGCGTGGCTAATCAATGACCGCGTTTCTAATCAATGACTGCGTGGCTAATCAATGACTGCGTGGCTTATCAATGACTGCGTGGCTAATCAATGACTGCGTGGCTAATCAATGACTGCGTGGCTAATCAATGACTGCGTGGCTAATCAATGACCGCGTGGCTAATCAATGACTGTGTGGCTAATCAATGACTGCGTGGCTAATCAATGACTGCGTGGCTAATCAATGACTGCGTGGCTAATCAATGACTTCGTCTAATCAATGACTGCGTGGCTAATCAATGACTGCGTGGCTAATCAATCACTGCGTGGCTAATCAATGACTGCGTGGCTAATCAATGACCGCGTGGCTAATCAATGACCGCGTTTCTAATCAATGACTGCGTGGCTAATCAATGACTGCGTGGCTTATCAATGACTGCGTGGCTAACCAATGACTGCGTGGCTAATCAATGACTGCGTGGCTAATCAATGACTGCGTGGCTAATCAATGACCGCGTGGCTAATCAATGACCGCGTTTCTAATCAATGACTGCATGGCTAATCAATGACTGCGTGGCTAATCAATGACCGCGTGGCTAATCAATGACCGCGTTTCTAATCAATGACTGCATGGCTAATCAATGACTGCGTGGCTAATCAATGACTGCGTGGCTAATCAATGACTGCGTGGCTAATCAATGACTGTGTGGCTAATCAATGACTGCGTGGCTAATCAATGACTGCGTGGCTAATCAATGACCGCGTGGCTGATCAATCACTGCGTGGCTGATCAAGGACTGCGTGGCTGATCAATGACTGCGTGGCTAACAAGGTTCAAAAATACGACCGAATTTTTGAAAATTTACTGTAAAATACGGTATCCTATTTTACGGTCGTATTAAACGGTAAAATACGGCCAGACCTTGCATTTTTAGGTTAGTTCAAAAATACGGTCGTTTTTTACGGCCGAATTTTTTAAACGAGATTTTGGAGTTTCCGTGGGGCTCAGGAACATCCCCACAGAAGCTCAGACAGGTTCCTTGGCCATCTGTATTAGTCTAGGGTTGGGCTGAGACCAATGTCGAGATCTGTGAAAGTGTATGGGGGGTTGGGTCTTGTAGATCCAGTGCGGTGACAAGTGGTAAGTGGCGACGAATTGGTTGGGACATTGAGTTCCAACAATTTTGACAGGGAGGAAGGGGTGCCTGACTTTGGGTTCTCAGTTCGTGGCGAATTCAAATTGACCAGAGAAATCGCCGATCTGTGCAGAGCTATGGGCGAAATCGCCGATCTGCGCAGATCGGCGGGCGAAATCGCCGATCAAATCGCCGATATGCGCAGATCGGCGGGCGAAATCGCCGCACAAGCGGGGCCGCTTATAATAGTCTGAGTTTGGGGGGGGAGCGGCCTTTTAGGCCTGATAATTGGCAATTTCTTTGATGATCACATCCCTAGAAGTGGATGGCAGCAAGTCTGAAGTTTGATTATTATTTTTTTGCGGAGAAAAAAACTCTAACAAAAAAACAGCCGAATTTTCGAAAATTGACTGTAAAATACGACCGTAAAAAACGGCCCGTATAATACGACAACCGTATTTTTTATCCTTGGTGGCTAATCAATGACTGCGTGGCTAATCAATGACTGCGTGGCTAATCAATGACTGCGTGGCTAATCAATCACTGCGTGGCTTATCAATGACTGCGTGGCTAATCAATCACTGCGTGGCTAATCAATCACTGCGTGGCTAATCAATGACTGCTTGGCTAATCAATGACTGCGTGGCTAATCAATGACTGCGTGGCTAATCAATGACTACGTGGCTAATCAATGACTGCGTGGCTAATCAATCACTGCGTGGCTAATCAATGACTGCGTGGCTAATCAATGACTGCGTGGCTAATCAATCACTGCGTGGCTAATCAATCACTGCGTGGCTAATCAATGACTGCGTGGCTAATCAATGACTGCGTGGCTAATCAATGACTGCGTGGCTAATCAATGACTGCGTGGCTAATCAATGACCGCGTGGCTAATCAATGACCGCGTGGCTAATCAATGACTGCGTGGCTAATCAATGACTGCGTGGCTAATCAATGACTGCGTGGCTAATCAATGACTGCGTGGCTAATCAATGACTGCGTGGCTAATCAATGACTGCGTGGCTAATCAATGACTGCGTGGCTAATCAATGACTGTGTGGCTAATCAATCACTACGTGGCTAATCAATGACTGCGTGGCTAATCAATGACTGCGTGGCTAATCAATCACTGCATGGCTAATCAATGACTGCGTGGCTAATCAATCACTGCTTGGCTAATCAATCACTGCGTGGCTAATCAATGACCGCGCGGCTAATCAATGACTGCGCGGCTAATCAATGACTGCGTGGCTAATCAATGACTGCGTGGCTAATCAATGACTGCGTGGCTAATCAATGACTGCGTGGCTAATCAATGACTGCGTGGCTAATCAATGACTTCGTGGCTAATCAATCACTGCGTGCCTAATCAATGACTGCGTGGCTAATCAATGACTGCGTGGCTAATCAATGACTGCGTGGCTAATCAATGACTGCGTGGCTAATCAATCACTACGTGGCTAATCAATGACTGCGTGGCTAATCAATGACTGCGTGGCTAATCAATCACTGCATGGCTAATCAATGACTGCGTGGCTAATCAATGACTGCTTGGCTAATCAATGACTGCGTGGCTAATCAATGACCGCGCGGCTAATCAATGACTGCGCGGCTAATCAATGACTGCGTGGCTAATCAATGACTGCGTGGCTAATCAATGACTGCGTGGCTAATCAATGACTGCGTGGCTAATCAATGACCGCGTGGCTAATCAATGACTGCGTGGCTAATCAATGACTGCGTGGCTAATCAATGACTGCGTGGCTAATCAATGACTGCGTGGCTAATCAATGACTGCGTGGCTAATCAATCACTACGTGGCTAATCAATGACTGCGTGGCTAATCAATGACTGCGTGGCTAATCAATCACTGCATGGCTAATCAATGACTGCGTGGCTAATCAATCACTGCTTGGCTAATCAATCACTGCGTGGCTAATCAATGACCGCGCGGCTAATCAATGACTGCGCGGCTAATCAATGACTGCGTGGCTAATCAATGACTGCGTGGCTAATCAATGACTGCGTGGCTAATCAATGACTGCGTGGCTAATCAATGACTGCGTGGCTAATCAATGACTGCGTGGCTAATCAATCACTGCGTGCCTAATCAATGACGGCGTGGCTAATCAATGACTGCGTGGCTAATCAATGACTGCGTGGCTAATCAATGACTGCGTGGCTAATCAATGACTGCGTGGCTAATCAATGACTGCGTGGCTAATCAATGACTGCGTGGCTAATCAATCACTGCGTGCCTAATCAATGACTGCGTGGCTAATCAATGACTGCGTGGCTAATCAATGACTGCGTGGCTAATCAATGACTGCGTGGCTAATCAATCACTACGTGGCTAATCAATGACTGCGTGGCTAATCAATGACTGCGTGGCTAATCAATCACTGCATGGCTAATCAATGACTGCGTGGCTAATCAATGACTGCTTGGCTAATCAATGACTGCGTGGCTAATCAATGACCGCGCGGCTAATCAATGACTGCGCGGCTAATCAATGACTGCGTGGCTAATCAATGACTGCGTGGCTAATCAATGACTGCGTGGCTAATCAATGACTGCGTGGCTAATCAATGACCGCGTGGCTAATCAATGACTGCGTGGCTAATCAATGACTGCGTGGCTAATCAATGACTGCGTGGCTAATTAATGACTGCGTGGCTAATCAATGACTGCGTGGCTAATCAATCACTACGTGGCTAATCAATGACTGCGTGGCTAATCAATGACTGCGTGGCTAATCAATCACTGCATGGCTAATCAATGACTGCGTGGCTAATCAATCACTGCTTGGCTAATCAATCACTGCGTGGCTAATCAATGACCGCGCGGCTAATCAATGACTGCGCGGCTAATCAATGACTGCGTGGCTAATCAATGACTGCGTGGCTAATCAATGACTGCGTGGCTAATCAATGACTGCGTGGCTAATCAATGACTGCGTGGCTAATCAATGACTGCGTGGCTAATCAATCACTGCGTGCCTAATCAATGACTGCGTGGCTAATCAATGACTGCGTGGCTAATCAATGACTGCGTGGCTAATCAATGACTGCGTGGCTAATCAATGACTGCGTGGCTAGTCAATGACTGCGTGGCTAATCAATGACTGCGTGGCTAATCAATGACTGCCTGGCTAATCAATCACTGCGTGGCCCTCGCCACTGTGCTCCGATCCAACAGCCTGGAACCAGGCAGAAGGGACAGGGGGACGGGAAGGAGAGGTGGAAAGGAGAGCAGAGAATCAATCGCCGCCTGGAACTGCGATCCAACACCCCTTGCCTGCTACTCGCTTCACATACAAACGCACCTGTCGATAGCAGCGCCATCGTAGTAGATCCGCGGACTTCCTGCATGGCAAAGGCAAATGATGTGCCGCTACTCACTCACTACCAGTGAATAAATGTACCTGTCGATAGCGGCATCATCGTAGTAGATCCGACGGCTCTCCTTCTTCCGCTTCTTCTTTTCCTTTGCTTTCTCATCCCCAGCCGCTCCTTTGTCAGTGTCCTTGTCAGCATCCTTGTCAGCATCCTTGTCAGCATCCTTACTGTCTTCTCCAGCCTTGCCTCCTGCCACCTCCTCACCACCTTCCTCCTCTTTCTTCACCTCTCCCTCCTTTGCCTCGTTCCTCTCTTCCACTTCCTCTCCTCCTTTTCCCTCCTCCTCGTCCTCTTCAAAGAGCTCCTTTGCTCCGAATCGCAGAATGTCGTCCAACTCCTCCTGTACAGGCACACACACGTCAACAATCATGCACAGCACGAACACGTACAGTTGGGGAACAAGAACATAAACATTTGACATACATATTTTCCTGCAGAACCTGGATGTATCATATAAATATAATACATCTCACAGAGTATCAGTATCTGTTGTAGAGCACACACTCTGATCATTGTCGGGTCTCGCTGCTGCTTCACAACAAACAGCCAACCCGCCTGCTGAAGTTGAATTACCGTCCCCGCCTGGTTGGCTAGTTGGTTGGTTGAGTTAAGGCATGTTGCTCACCTGGTTGAGGTTAGACTGCTTGAGCTTCCCCACCACCACGTGTTCAAGCACCATCTTCTTCTTGCTCATCTGCACCATGCGCTCCTCCACTGTCGCTCGAGTCACCAGCCGGTATATCATCACCTGCGACAGGCAGGGTGACAGATAGCGCACCGCACACACACCATCACACAGAGACACAGGTACACAGAGAGCCAGGAGTTGAGTGTGCTTTCCATTTGCTCATCTGCGCCATCCGCTCCTCCACTGTCGCCCTTGTCACCAGCTGGTAGATCATCACCTGGAAAGGGGCGACGGATGGAGCACCACACATACATGCACAAATACACACAGAGAGGCAGGAACTTGAGAGTGCCGAGTGTGCTTGGCCCTGGCATGCAGGGATGAGAAAGCATTTGTGTCTCATCGCATACACAGGGGAATGCCTCGTACGGAGTGCCAAAAACTTGCGTACGCATGCATGCATGCATGCACTGCACACGGAACGCACATATGAGTGTGCATGGTCAGCCCCTCACTCACACCCATGCACCCATGTACGGAACGCAACATATGAGTTTGCTGCTCGCTGAGAACATGTCCCAAGACCAGTTGGCACATATGAGTGTGCATGGTCAGCCCCTCACTCACACCCATGCACCCACTCTGCCCCACTCTCCCCCCCCCTCCACCAACCCCCCCACACACACGCACACGCACGCCCCTATGCCCGCCAGCCCACCCGCATGCACGCACACATGCCCCTTACCGTTTGGGTCTGCCCCAGCCTGTGCGCGCGAGCCATGGCTTGCAGATCCGCATGGGGGTTCCAATCACTGTCGTGGGGCAGAGAGAATGGGTGAAAAGTGGGGAAAGGGGTACATGGGAGTAAGCGGGGGGTGGGGGGAAGACGGAGAGGAGAGTGGTGCTAGAGGCAATTGAGAGCATTGGGCGAGCCATGGCCTGCAGGTTGGCGTGCGGGTTCCAATCACTGCCAGGGGGGTGAGAGGGCACAACTGCCACCCCACCACTACTGCCACCCCACCACTACTGCCACCCCACCACTACTGCCACCCCACCCCACCACTACTGCCACCCCACCACTACTGCCACCCCACCACTACTGCCACCCCACCCCACCACTACTGCCACCCCACCACTACTGCCACCCCACCACTACTGCCACCCCACCACTACTGCCACCCCACCCCACCACTACTGCCACCCCACCACTACTGCCACCCCACCACTACTGCCACCCCACCACTACTGCCACCCCACCACTACTGCCACCCCACCACTACTGCCACCCCACCACTACTGCCACTCCACCACTACTGCCACCCCACCACTACTGCCACGCCACCCCACCACTACTGCCACCCCACCACTACTGCCACCCCACCATATGGGGTAAACATACTCACAGTGCCGGGCCGGGCCCCATTGCGAGTTGAAAGGAGTCTACTTTTGAGGCGCCTCAAAAGTGTGATGAGTCTACTTTTGAGTCGACTCAGAATGAGGCGCCTCAAAAGTGGACTACTCACAGTGCCGGGCCGGGCCGGGCCGGGCCGGGCCCCATTGCGAGTTGAAAGGGAGCAATACAGAGCGGATGGACCCTGATAAAGTGAAGCTACAGCCAGAGTCTAAACTCTAAGATTACCTACCTGTCCCATACAATCTCATTCTTTCCGCAGCCATTGTATATCTGTAACAGCAGTGGCCAGGTTGATTCCGAGTCCCCCGGCACAAGTGGAGAGGATGAACACAAAATGGGTTGACCCCAGCGAAACCACAAATTATACTTTGACAATACCTGTCCTAAATATACAGTCACATCTTCTGTTCCGCACCTGTCGTATATAATCACGGTGTCGGCAGTGGCGAGGTTGATCCCCAGCCCACCAGCGCGAGTGGAGAGCAGGAACACAAAGCGGCTAGACCCGGGAGCGTTGAACCGGTCGATGCGCTGCTGCCGGTCCGTGCCGCTCACGCTGCCGTCTATGCGCTCGCACCCCCAGCCCTGTGGGACAGGAAATTCGATTGAGGGGATGGAGAGAAAGAGTGGTTAGTAGGAGTAGCAAGACGAAGACTGGGTCACGGTGCGTTGATTGAACCAATCGATGCGCTGCTGCCGGTCTGATCCACAGATGCTGGTTTCTATGCGCTCACAGCCCCAGACACCCCAGACGGATGGGGTGTTTGGGTAGGGGCAGAAGGAAGAGCACACAGTGGGTGTGGGAGTGGTGGGAGGGTTGACCCCACCCCAGTGCAGTGAGTTGGATCATATCAGGCTCCCTTCAAAGCGCTGCTGTTGGTCCGAGTGAGCTTATAACCTCCGATCATCTGTCAACTTGCTTTTACATCTCCATTCCACCCGGCTGGACGAAAAAGCACTAACGTTGCCCGCCCGCCAGCCGCTGCTCGGCAGCAGATCCAGCACGCGCTTGAACTGCATGGAGAAATCGCCCAAGTCTTGAAATGAGTCACGTGACTCATCCATCCATCCATCCAACCCAACCCAACTCGCCTCACCCTCCCCACCTTGCTTCATCAAATCAGTACCTAAGAATCACCCACCTTGCCCATGAGCCACCCACCTTGCCCATGAGCCACCCACCTTGCCCATGAGCCACCCACCTTGCCCATGAGCCACTCCTGCAGCAGGTCCAGCATGCGCTTGAACTGTGAGTACACCAGCACGCGGTGCCCCCCCGCTTTCAGCCGCTCCAGCATTCGCTCCAATAAGGCCAGCTTGTCAGATGCCGCCACCATGCGCCTGGGAAGGGAGCAGAGCACGTGGGGGACAAGGGTATGAAGGGAGAGATAGGGGGGGGGGGGGAGGGGGGGCACCGCGTGGTGGTGAGTGCGCATGGGGGAGGAGGGTCGGACCCGGTACTCCCTCCACCCCGCTCAGCCGCTGCAGCAGCATTCGCTCCAGCAGAGCCAGCTCGTGCGATGAAGCCACCATGCGCCTGGGAGGAAAGGGAAGCACACAGAAGATGGTTGCGAATTCCCTAATCCCCCTCACTTTGAGCCGCTGCAGAATTTGCTCCAGCAGGGCCCGCCTGTCCAATGCTGCCACCATGTGCCTGGGAAGGGAGCAGATGGGAGCAGGGGAAAAAGGCAAGGGAGGGGAGAGAGAGTGACCAGAATCGCCTTGAGCCGCTCCAGCATTCGCTCCAATAAGGCCAGCTTGTCAGATGCCGCCACCATGCGCCTGGGAATGGAATAATTGAGTTGCTGAAAGCGAACGAGGCACAGAATGGGGGGAAGTGCCATGATGAAAGGACCCTAAACCTTAAACCCTAGACCCTAGACCTGAAACTTACTTAAAGCAGCAGTATACATTTCACAGTGGGGTTCAGGGTTTTTCAGTGTGCCTCACGATTACGGCCCCACCACCATGTACCATTTATAAGCTTTTGGCACTCGCCCTGGCAAATGTATACTGCTGCTTTAATCCAAAACCAAACTCCTGTGCTTCCAGCAAGCTACTACTGCATGATGCCCCGTTCCCATGCTTCTTTCCTCCATGTGCTCCGATGCTGATCCAACCCACCACCCACCTCTACCAAAGTGCCTTTGCCACTCCCAGCACGCGCTTTCCTTTCCACACTGCTCCTCCCCTCCGTGCTGCTCCTCCACACGCCCTCCACCACCACCCACCCATCTCAACCGACCGACCCTGCCAGTCCCCGTCCAAGCTTCCCCATGGCGTGTCCCCCCACCCTTACCGGCTGGCTTCCGCCGGCGTGTCTCCCCCTCCGTGCTGCTCCTCCACGCCCTCCACCAGGAACGGGTGGCAGCACACCTTCCTCAGCTGCATCATCGTGTTGGTCAGGGATACCTGTGGGGGGGGATGAAGATTGAAGAGCAGCGAAGAATTCACAGGGGGGGGTGAGCAAGGAACAGAGTAAGGGATGGTACAGCCACGCTACCCCTCTACCAGGAACGGGTGGCAGTACACCTTGCGCAGCTGCATCATGGTGTTTGTGAGGGAGACCTGTGGGTGGTGTTGAAGTGAATGGGGGTGAGTGAGCACAGAAAGATGACGGTAGAGTCGACGCATCACAATCATTGCGCCCTCCACCAGGAACGGGTGGCAGCACACCTTCCTCAGCCGCATCATCGTGTTGGTTAGGGATACCTGTGAGGGGAGATGAAGGGAAGGGGGGTGGGAGGGGGAGCAGGCGGGTGGGTACTGGGCACAGCAGGAACAGGTGGCACTCTTCGCGCTCTCCACCAGGAACAGGTGACACTCTTCGCGCTCTCCACCAGGAACGGGTGGCAGCACACCTTGCGTAGCTGCATCATCGTGTTGGTCAGCGATACCTGTAACTCATGAGGGGTGGGTGATGAAGGTAAGTAAATGGTCATAACAGCACATGGGGATGAGTAAGGGGAGAAAGTAGAGGGCAACACACGTATAAGCACAGCCGTGCTCCACGAATGGAATGCACCTGCTGGCCGGATGCCTTGGTAAGTGCCTGGTAGTTGCGGGTGAGCACAGCACGGTACAGAAATCTATAGCCTATAGATAAATATACGACTACATTCCAAGTGTAGCTAGAACGTACCTGCTGCCCCGACGCCTTGGTGAGCGCCTGGTAGTTGCGGGTGAGCACAGTGCTGCAGTGATATAAGTAAGGAGCACAAGTACAGCGTTCCCTGCGTAAAACGTACCTGCTGTCCCGATGCCTTGGTGAGAGCCTGGTAGTTGCAGGTGAGAGCACGACACAGTACAGCGAACTATAAGTAACACATAAAAGAACAGCCTTATTCCCTGCGTAAAACGTACCTGCTGCCCCGACGCCTTGGTGAGAGCCTGGTAGTTGCGGGTGAGCACAGCTCGGTACAGCGAGCGCTGCAGCGGCGCCAAGTCCACACGCAGAATCTGCTCCTTCTTGGGCGGCATCTGCTTCAACACGTCCTTCTTCAGCCCTGGGAGGTGAGAGTGGAGTGGAGGTAGGTTTCGGAGGGAGGGCATCTCAAAAGGCTTGGAGCAAGAGCTTCACGACCAGAGGCTTGGAGCAAGAGGCTCAGAGTTTAAGATTCAGGGTCTTCAAACTTATAGATCGGGGTATCGATTTTACGTCTGGGGAGGTGGGGCGTGAGCAGGTGATGCACCTTGGCTCCGCGCCACTGTGCCATGCATGTAAAGCAATGGGGTGAACAACGAGAGGAGCAAGTGCTTCAGCCTCTAGGATTCAGGGCCTAAGGTTTGGAGTTTGGGGTTTCAATTCAGGTATGCTTACGCCTGAGCAGGTGCGGCGCGAGCAGGTGGTGCAGCTTGGCCACCTGCTCCTCCTGCCCCAGCTGCTGGAACTCGCCCTGAAAGCCCTCCAGACTCGCAAACTGCCAGGAGCGATGGTGCACGGGCACAAGGTGACAACAGAGAAGAGATAATACGGGAGGGCACAGGGCCACGGGAAGTGGTCAAAATGGGGGTGGGCGCAAGGAATATGCGATCAAAGGTGCAATGTATACAGGAACGGATAAACCTTACCTGCTGCCATTGTTAGGGGGAACACTTGCCATACTCCATCCTGTACCTCACTCAACCTGCTGTCCCCTACTTTGTGCCTTGGCGGCATACTGGACGCGCATGGAATGGACGAGAGCTCCGCACACAGCGGGTGGCGCACTGTGCGCTTTCCTTCCTTATCCTCGCCTTTCAATCGCCTTGCCAACGCTCACCCTCTTGCTTCGCCTCTCCCACTCCTTCCCTCACCTCAGGAGCGTTGAGGAGTGAATGACAATAAAGGGAGTGTGCTCTATTGTCGTGCGCTTCACGTCAGGGTGGGAGCGCACCTCAAGGAAGTGCACCCTGAGGTGCGCTTCACCTGAGCTAGTAACACACAAGGTGGGACATTCAGGTGTTCCCGATCAGTTGGTCACGCTCTTCTTCTCATCTCACCTAACCACACCACACCTCACCACACCTCACCTCACCTCACCTCACCGCATTCCATCCCTCACCTTATCGGCGTCCAGGAAGTGCATGAGGATGAAGAGCTCGTCCAAATTGTTCTACCGGGGGCAATAGGGAAAACACGGGGATGCATGATACAGGGAATAGCAGACAAGACAAGGTGTAAGGTGAAGGGATGAGAGGGGGGGGGAGGAATGGGGAGGGGAATGAGGATAAAAAGCTCGTGCAGGTTGTTCTGCAGCCGGAGGCAATAGGGGAAACATGGGGATGGAAGTTACAGGGAATAGCAGGGAAGGCGCAACGTGAAGCCACAGGGATAGGGCAAGGGAGGGGAGGACGGTAAGAGGATGAGGACAAAGAGCTCGTCCAGGTTCTTCTGCAAGGAGTGAGCAGTAGCAGAAACTTGGGGGGGTGGAAGGAAGGCATAAGAGGAAAAAAGGGGAGGGACGGTAAGTGCATGAGGATGAAAAGATCGTCCAGGTTGTTCTGTCTGGCATTGCATGGCATTGCATTGCACTGCACTGCACTGCACTGCACTGCACTGCACTGCACTGCACTGCACAACGCCCCACCTGCAGGGGAGTGCCAGTGAGCAGCAGGCGGTGCAGGGAGGAGTAGCTCTGCAGGGTCCCAAACAGCTTGCTCTCCTTGTTCTTGAGGCGGTGCCCCTCGTCCACCACGAGGCACCCCCACCGCACCTGCCTCAGCTGCTGCGAGTCACTGTTCACCGCCTCGTATGACGTCAGCAGCACGTCAAACCGCACCCGCTCCTGCCGGGACAGTTGCTGTTGCTGCTGCATGCGCCCACCAGGGGGAATGCGTTTGCTGCCCCCCTTGATGCTGCCGCCCCCCTTGCTTCTGCCTGCTGATGCGCTGCAGGGCTTGTGCTTTCCACGATGAGTGCCTTTCCCACTGCGCCTGACCTTCGCCCGCTTGCTTAGGGGCATTTCCTCCTCGTCCTCTTCTTCCTCCTCTTCCTCTTCCTCCTCCTCATTCTCACTACCCTCCTCTTCACTCGCCTCCTCTTCACTCTCCTCCTCACTCCCCTCCTCCTCACTCCCCTCCTCTGTCACCACCACATACTCCTCGTCATCCTCATCAGAAGACTCATCCGACGACGATGCTGACTCTCCCCTCCGCCGCTTCCGCCCCTTCTGTTGCTGCTGTTGCTTCATCTCCCTTCCTCTCTTCTTCCCTCGATCCTTCTTTCCCTTCGTTTCTCTTAGCCTGCCCTTCTCTCTACCCCTAACATCCCTCCCTGTACTATCGCTTCTCATCACACCCCTGCTCCTTGCCTCCCTATCTTGCTCTCTCGTAACACTGCGGGAAGCCCTCGTCCCCATCTGCCTGCGTCTACTCTTCCCTGCCTGCTCTTCCTCCTCCTCTTCCGCTTCCTCCTCCTCTTCCGCTTCCTCCTCCTCGTCTTCCTCCTCCCTTTCCTCCTCGCCTCCTCCCTCTATATCCTCCAACACCCCAACCTCTTCCACCTCATCCTCACTATCCTTATCTGACCCGCCAGAGGACTCTTCCGATTTCTCAGACTCAGAAGAAAGCACCGTCCTCCCCCTCGTTCGCTTCCTCTTGGCCTGTTGCACCCCTCGTGGCACCACTCTCCCTATCTTCCCACCTTTCCCCTTCTCTCCACGCTTCTTGCTATCTCCGCCCTTTCCTTTTGCACCACCTTTCCCTGTCTTCCCGCCCTTCCCCTGCTTCCCTTGCACTCGCATATCCTTGGTTGACGGAGGGGCAGGAGGCGTGTAGGAGGAGGGGAAGAAGAACTCGTGCTCTCGGATTAGCGCTCTCGCTGCCCCTGTGCCTACATACATCACCTGCACGCATGCACCCATCCCCACATGCCCGCCCACATACAGCCATGCAAGGAGGAAGGGGACGCATGTAAGTAGAGGGGAAGAAAACTCGTGCTCTCTGATTAAGCCTCTTGCTGCCCCTGTGCCCACATACATCACCTGCACGCATGCACGGAGGAAGGGGAGGTGTATCAGTGGAAGGGAAGAAGAAGTTATGTTTCCGAAGCAATGCCCTTGCTACCCCTGTGCCCACATACATCACCTGCACCAATGCACAAGTGCCCGGATTCATGCATGCCTGCATGCACACATGCACACACGAACACATGCAAACGTGCATATATGCACACGCGCACAAATGCACACGTGCATGCATAAACGCATGTACACATTCACGCATGTGTCAGATTGCCATCCTCATTGTAACCTACATCAATCCTATAAGCGTAGGATAGAGATAGCCACCCAAACTTAGTTTGGGTGTAGAACTAGGGCTAACCCTAGTTGGGGGTTGGAACTCAAACCTTGGCCCCCAAGGTTGGGTTGGGAATTATTGGTCCCCCCCAATAATGTTGAACCACTTGGTCAACATTATTGGTCCCCCCAATAATCCCTCAACCCAACTTATTGGTGGGGGCCAATAATGTTGGCTTGGTTCCAACCAACCCCCCCCCCCCCCCCCCCCCCCCCCCCCCCCCCCCCCCCCCCCTAGCACTACTATGTATACCCCAATCTCTCCTCATGAAATTAATGGTTCTTCCTCACGTTTTCTCACAGCATGTACACATTCACACATACACGCATGTACACATTCACGCATGTACACATTCACGCATGTACACATTCACGCATGTACACATTCACATATACACACATGTACGGACACTCACATGCACACAAGTACGCATGCACTCATGCATGCACACATGCAAGCAAACGTGCACACATGCCCGACCGCACACAAGGATGGATGCATGAGTGCATGCATGCATACAACATACATGCATGCACCCATGCACACACACACCCATGCAATAAATCCCATACAACATTGAAGATACCCGGATGTGCGCGTATGCATGGAATACGCGAGAGTGCAGGAGAACGGGAGAAGGGGGGTGGGGGAACGAGTTGAGAGACAAAGCATGACACACACCAGGTGCGGAGAGAGGGAGAGGGGGAGGGGAGGGGAGGGAAGGGGAGGAGAGGGAGGGAGGAAAGGAGGAGGCATATGAGGAGACCACGTGGCATAATTCCACTGCTACTTGCACAACGCAGAAAGGACAGCAGCGGCACCTTTGAAAACTCTGCAGCACGGAGGGAGAGGCAGCACGGGCAAGAGAGCATGTGGCAGAGAAGAGGGAGGCAGCGAGCGTGGAGGCGGCTAAGAAAAAAAGAAGGGTACTCACCACACGCAGGTGGGGTGCCCATGTTGCAAACTCTCGCTGCCAGTTGCGGAGAGTGGAGAGCGGCACGACCACCATGTGGGGGAGCGCTGTGGCCCTCTCCTCGTGCAGCGATGCGAGGAAGGAGATCGCCTGCACCGTTTTGCCTGTTGTGGTTGAGAGGGAGGGGCGGACGAGGGATGAGGGAAGCCAGCAGCAGCAGCAGCACGTATTGAGAGAGGATCGAAGCATGAGGGAGCGATGGCTCCTCCTCATGCAGCGATGCAAGGTAGGGAATTCCTCATCTTGACTGCGATGGGTGGAATTCCTCATCTTGACTGCGATGGGTGGAATTCCTCATCTTGACTGCGATGGGTCGGAGGGAATGAGCGCGAGGGATGAGGAACGAGGGGACGAGGGAAGGCAACAGCAGAGGGTTGAGGCGAAGCGAGGAAGGACATTGCGATGCGCCTTGCATTGCCTTACCATCATCAACCCACCCCCCACCTACCCCACATGGCTCGCCCACCCCCCATCCACATGGCTCGCCCACCCCACATGGCTCGCCCACCCCCCACCCCCCACCACTCACCCAGCCCCATCTCGTCCACGAGAAGCACGTGCTGCTTCTGCTGTCTGTACGTGTTGAAGCGCCTCACACACACAACCAACCCCCCCTTCCCCTCTCCCCCCCCCCACCACTCACCCAGCCCCATCTCGTCCGCCAGAATCACGTGCTGCTTCTGCTGCCATGCGAACCGCAGCCAGTTGAGCCCCTCCAGCTGGTACGGGTGCAGCGTACCTGGACATATTCAATTTCAAAGTGGGTGGAACAGATGGGGGGCGATGGCAAGAGCTGGGGAGTGATGAAACTGCGTACGGGTGCAGCGAACCTGGATTGGTTGGAAGCGAGAGAAAGGCATAGGGGGTGATATGATAGCAGCAGCATGCATGTGGGTGTGTAGTCAAACAGAACGACGCAGGGCACGACATGGGAGGTCAGAGCAGAAGGTGAGTTAGCTGCGGGTGTAAAAACGAATACGGATTCGAATACGGTTATCTTAAACGAATACTTTGTCGAATACCTGACTGTTCTTGTATTTGGTCGAATACCTGCCCCTCCACGAATTCGAATACGGTTCGAATACATGGTGTGTCGAATACAGTTTCGAATAAAAATAGGTTGCGCAAACAAATATCTCATGATTCACGGTGGGGCTTAAAAGCATACCGAAGTATCATTAACCCCCTTTTACACTTACTCATTGGCCCCTTGCTCAGTTAGCATGGCTATGATGGCCGTTCTGTAGATTCCTTTGTATTGTTTACTCAAGATTTCATGAATAATAGCGGCTGGTTTGGGTGGTTCAGTAACTTAAAACCGAATCGAATATGTATTCGAATAACCGGTTATTTGAACCGAATAATCGAACGTCGAATACTTTCGAATAGTAAGGGGTATTTGTATTTGATTTGTATTTGATATTTGTCGGATATCGAATACTAATGCGAATACAGTGGTATTTGTTTACACCCTGCATGGAAGAAACATGGGGTCAAAGCAGGGGAAGCAGCAGAGCAGGGCAGGGGAGCGAGGGTGAGCAAACAAGGCGGATTATAACGGAGCAAACATGCTTCACCCTGGCTAGCTGGTTCATCTTGAGAACTCTAAAAAAATTGCAGTCATGTTACAATGCAATGCAGTAACATCGAGGATAACGCATGCTTCACCTTCAACTAACACGTAGAGAAACCAACCTTTCAGAAAGCCGGGTGTTTCCTTAAACTCCATTTGCTTCTTCTTCTGCACTCCCCTCTCTGCCTCCTTACCCGCTCCCCCTCCCCCTCCCCCTCCCCCTCCCCCTCCCCCTCCCCCGCCCACCAGCCCCCACGCCACTGCCTTGGGTCCTCTCGCCATCATCTCCTCATACTCCTTAAGAGCCTCCTCGAAACCCTCTACTACTGCCGCACCACTCTCCTCTCCTCCTTTCTTCATACCCTTTCTCCCTTTCCCATCTCCTCCTGAACCTTTCTTCCCCTGATCACCACCCTTCGCCCCATCCTTCATCCCATCCTTCATCCCATCCTTCATCCCCTCCTTTGGCTCGTCCTTCGGGCCACTGGCCGACCCTTTCCCTTTGCTCCGCAAATCCTCCTCAGTCTCCCAGGTTGCCTCGTCGTACCCCAGCTCCCGCCACTTAAGTAAGTACTCCTGCTGCCCCTTGCGGTTCTTCCTGGAAAATGAGCAGTAGCCAGCCAGAGGGTAAACAAGCAGCAGAGCAGAATGTGAGGCGAATGGAGGATTTCATAAGTAAAAGCACGACAGGAAGGAGATGTGGAGCGCGGCAAAAAAAAACAGAGTATTCGAGCGTGTGTTTTTTTAGAATTGTCAAAAGACAACGGATTCAAGATTGACCACGCATTCACACCCACTCGGCGTTAACCATTCAGTTCAGTCACCATTCATCACTCACTTGGCGTTGACAATTCTCTCCACGACCAGCCAATCAGGTCGCAGCACTGGCACCGCCCCGCTCTCCTCTGGGTCCTCCTCCCCATCCCCAAAGAGCGCGCTCTGTGCTGCAGCCTCTGCCCTCTGCCGCATGTAGTTCCGCAACCTTGCCTTCAGTCCCGGAAAGCTCTTTGCTGCTGCCTCCACTGTTGCAGCTGCCACCCTGAAGATTGGGGGTGGGGGGAAAGGAAGACACGAGGGAGGGCAAGCGGGAAGAAGGAGGGGAGGGAGAGGAGGGGTTGAGGGATACCAAAGGGCTAGGGAGATGAAAAATCAAGCTGCAACGAGGTCAGGGCGCCTCTGCCCTCTGCCGCAGGTATTTCCTCAGCCGGGCATTGAGCCCCGGGAAGCTCTTTGCTGCTGCCTCCAATGCTGTACCTGCCACCTTGAAGAGTGTGGGCAAGAGGGAGGGAGATAAGGGGGGAGGGGTGCGGAAGGGGCCCGGGGATGCAAAGGGAAGGAGGGGAGGGAGCGGAGGGAGTTAGGGATATAGAAGGGCTAGGGAGTTGGAAAAGCATGGCGATCTGGGCGTCTCTGCTCGCTGCTGCCGGTAATTTCTCGGCCGGGGCTTCAGCCCTGGGAAGCTCTTTGCTGCTGCCGCCAATGTTGCAGCTGCCACCCTGAAGAGTGAGGGGAGGGGGGGGGAGGAAGTGGGGGAAGGAAGGGGGATGGGAGTGAATGCATGACGGACGGCAAGGGGGAGGGAGAGGAACGGGTGAGGGATACCGAAGGGCTAGGAAGATGAAGTAGCATGCTGTATGGGGCTCTGGGCCCGTTGCCACAGCTAGTTCTTCAAGCGAACAACCGAGATTTTATAGCATGCTGTTGTATGTATGCTTAAAAATCCTCAAGCAGGCTTTAAGCCCTGGGAAGCTTATTGCTGCTGCCTCCACTGTTGCATCTGCCACCCTGAAGATATATGAGGGGGTTGAAGGGTTAAAGGTGGAGCAGTGGAGCAGAGGAGCAGCAGAGCAGTGGGGGCATTTGATCGACTTACAAACAAGCAAAGAAAGTGGTGTATACGTACAGTGATGAATAGAGGGGATGCGCGAGATGAAAAAGGAGCATGTGAGAGATAACGGGCAAAAGGGGAAAAGCACGCTAATCCTTGCAGATCCCCTACAAGCAGTCAGACAGAGCGAGCACGTCAAGTAGTCCAGTCCGAATGAGTGAAAAGGAAGGAGCGCGTTGCAGGGATTTTTTTAGAATTTTCCAAAAATCCCTGCAATGTCATTGAAGATCCCCTACAAGCTGTCAGACAGAGCGAGAACGTCAAGTAGTCCGAATGAGTGATAAGGAGTGCGTGTGAGGAAGAGAAAGGGAGTCGGAAAGAGGTTCGACAATAGAAACAAGAGCATACCAGGAGCAGTGGATGTGAGATTGTCTCTCCACTTGATCAGATGCAAAGATTGTGCAAGTGCAAGCTCTGATCTCATAGAGAGGCGGGTTTTCAGGCACCACTCTTCTTGCCATCATACTTGAATAAGAAACATACCAGGTGCAGTGTATATGGGACTTGTCTCTCCACTTGATCAAATACTCCTCCACTCGCCTCCCCTCACCCCTCCCTCCACTACCCCTGCCATCGCCATCCCTACCACCGTCACCACCACTCCTACCCCCATCACTGCCCCCCTCGCCAGTTCCCCCATCCGCCCTTCCTTCGCTCCCCTCACCATCCCCTGCCCCACCCTCGCCCCCATGCTCCACCTCTCTCACGCCCAGAAATCGCTCCACTGCTGCCCAATCATGGCCCTGCATGCATGCATGCACGCACAAAGAGCGAGTGGTGTGAGGGAGAGACGGGCAGGCATGCGCGTCACATCGGGGGCAGCACCACGCTCCAGACGCAGACATGTAGCCATGCCTACATAACCCTGGGACACATGGCATGGCATGGCATGGTAAGGCTTGGCATGGCATGGTAAGGCTTGGCATGGCATGGTAAGGCGTGGCACGGCATGAAACGCCATGGCATCGCATGGCATGGCACGGCATGGCACAGCACGGCATGGGATGGCACGGCATGGCATGGCATGGCATGGCAAGGCATGGCATGGCATGGCATGGCATGGCATGGCATGTCACGGCATGGCAGGCATGGCATGGCATGTCACGGCATGGCACACGGCATGCATGTGTGCGTGACTCATGCATTTGGGGAAAAACCAGGTTCTTTGAGGCACGTGGGAGGGAAAGGGGCGGGTGCAGTCAGTACAGATGGTAGACAGCAGGGCACGCATCACACATCAGCCAAACGTTCTCTAAAGTAAACACATGTATGGCATGGCATGCCAGGGCATGGCATGGAATGGCATGGCATGGCATGGATGCAGCTCAAGCGTGACTCACGCATTTGACGCAGAACCAGGCGCCTTCAGACACAAGGGAGAGAGGCAGGTGCAGTGCAGGCAGTACAGATGGTACAGAGCAGGGCAAGGCACGCATCAGTCACATGTACTCTAAACTAGGCATACATGGCATGATGGCATGGAATGTGCGTGTGAGTTACGCATTTGGGGCAGAACCAGGCGCCATCAGGCACGCAGGAGAGGGGCGGGTGCAGGCAGTACAGGTGGTACATGGCAGGGCACGCGTCAGTCACATGTACTCTAAAGTCAACACATGTATGGCATTGCATATGATATGACTCACGCATTTGGGGCAGAACCAGGCTCCTTCGGGCACATGGGAGAGCGGCGGGTGCAGGCAGTACAGATGGTACACAGCAGGGCACGCATCACACATCAGCAACTCGCCGTCGCCGCCGCACACCTCGCACACGTCATCGTCCTCCGCGGCCACCTCAGCCTCCTCTCCTGACACGTCAGCATCCCCCTCAACCTCCCCCTCCGACACGTCAGCATCCATTTCAGCTGCTTCTCCTGACACGTCAGCTTCTACCTTAGCCGCCTCTTGATCCTTCCCCTCCTCCCCTTCCCCCTCCAACCCCTCCATCTCCCCCTCGCTCCCCCTCCTCGCCTTCCCCTCACCTGTCCCCGCACTTCCGCTCCCCTCAACCTCTCCACCCTTCCCCGCACCTCCACTCCCCCCCACCTCCCTACCCTTCCCCGCCGGCGTCACAGCGCCATCTGGCTTTCCCCCCCCTGCTCCCCCCGCAGCCGTGGAGGCATCTGCTTTCACTCTCTCTGATCGCCTCTCCTTCGCCTTATCACCACCTCTATTCTCGCTTGTTTTTGAATCCGCTTTCCCTGATTTGACATCTGCCTTCCCTGTTTTAGCCGTCTTTCCGCCTCTTCCGCTACTTCCTCCCGCCCCCTCGTGCTCCTGCTCCCGCAGCCATGCTTCAAACGCCGCGTCGTCGTCATCGTCAGTATAGACGGGTAGCCGTGAGCTGCGATTCGACCGGTTGGAGAACCGGCGGGATTGCAAGTCCCGCGACATCGCTTACCGGCCGCCTTAGGGATTCACGGATCGCGCACGCAACCAGGTTTGGCGATTTCGCAGCCTGAAAATCCGCCACAATCGCCGCTTAGGGATTAATTGCACGCATAACACGCGAAGGTATCAGATAATTGGACGGGACTGGAGGAGATTAAGGACTACTGATGAATCATGATGGTCCTAGTGGGTAGTGCTATGTGATGCCATAGGTCCAGATCTGAAATATCGTATCATCTTCCGCATCAGGCCTATGGTATGGTGGTGTGCGAAACCTACAAACCACCTTTCGCCAACTGTAGCTAACGCGTGGTAACCCTATCACACATCCCATGTGGGAACCTTGAGGGTTATCCTCAGGGATCATCCGCGAGTGAGGTCATCCATGACATGGCATGAGGTGACATGAAACGGCCCGGCCTGGAGGAACACGAACTGCAGGATGAGTTGCAACGACATAGCTGTGTTGGAAACTCTAGGCGTTTCAACATGCCTCAACAGCTTGCGTACGGGGATCGTTCTGGGTCTGGAGCCTTTCACTAGGCAGATGTGACCACCTAGAGCGTAACCTGAGGGGGTGTTGCACGTGTGCAAAATGCAGCTGGGCCGCAGCGGCCTAGCGCGGCCCAGCGAGGATCACCGCGGACCAGCTGTGGACCAGCAACAGACCCACTGTGGACCCGACTTGATCCCGCCCCTGGACGCCGCTTGTACAGTGCCCAGCCATCATAGCGGCTGCGCAGGTGTGGTAGGGTACACGACCCCGAGGACCATTTCACTGATTCGGCCAATCAACTTTCCGATTTGCGAAAATTTCGAGACGGGAGAATTTGTTTCGCTTATGCTCGTTCTTGAGCGACATGCTACGCAACTATCTCGCTGAAAATTCGCTCGACCAGTCGCAAAGTTTGTTGTCACAGGGGTTCAACTCAAATAGTCCCCGGTACCACACGGGACTGAGCTCGAACCACTTCTGCAATGGTCTGTCTCATGTACCTGCCTGCATTCGCTGGTCCAATTGCCCTGAATGAACGCCCCCTCAGCAGATAACACAATTGGGCATATGAAACTGTGTTGAAATCTAGATTGGAACATGAAACTGCCCGTGAAAATAAATTACAGTCACAATAGAACCCTAAACAAATACAGTAAAATTGAAACCCGAAACCTTTGCAATTGGGGATCTGAAATTAGTTTGTGGTATCGTTACGCTTGTCCCATAGCCATTCATAACTCGTTTTCCTTTTTAAAGCGATCCCAAGGGGGCCCATCATGACAAGGCGCCCTTGTGGCACGTCATTCATGATGACGATAACACCAAGACTCAACCAGTGTTACGCCAACACGCGCTCGAATCTCCATTCTCCATTAGCTTTGTAACATGCTCCTTTATTGACGAAAACTGTCCCACCACATGCATCCACCGACTCTAATTCCGCCAGATCTGCACGCATCTCGCAATCAAATATTGGCGCATCAATCCTAATCTACAGTTTCCGCGACGGTAGCAGCGGACACCTGTGCGACGCGTCGCACCGTCTGTCTGACGCGTCGCACCGTCTGTGTGACGCGCCGCACCATCTGTGTGACGCGCGACATCATCCTGCTCACCAGCAGTTACATAATGTTTTGAGAAGGTGGGTCACCTCCATGTCGTGCATACCACCAGCGTCTAACCCGCAGTTGCCACTGACACCTGTCGCTCGCACTTATCGCCCCTTATCCAGAGTCAATCTAATCGCCGTAGAAGTGCTTGCGAGTAGCTCTCTCATCGCGTCGCTCTCGACGTGCGCACACTAACCATCATGCAGACGCGCATCCGCCAGAATCTAGTACAAGAACATAAAGGGTGAGCGAGAGAGAGAGAGAGAGAGAGAGAGAGAGAGAGAGAGAGAGAGAGAGAGAGAGAGAGAGAGAGAGAGCTGGTCTGTCATGCAGCAGCGGTGCCAAGCAACAACCCTGCTGGCCAAGTCCAACAGAGCCGCAGAGGAGGTGGCTCCCACGCCTAGGGGATCTGGCTCAGACCCTCGAGGCCGAGCTGGATGGGGTGGAGGACTGGGGGACGTAGAAGGTTGGGGGAGAACGAGAGGGTGAGCTACGGGCAAGAGGTGGTGACAGGGGGGGGACATGGCAGGCGGGTCAGGCATAGGGCCAGGGGCGAGTCAAGGGTAGTGGGCTGGACTAGGCTCCAGGATGTTCATCGGGTAGGCTAGAGGGCAGAATCACTTGCGTGCTTGTTTGCCCGTGGGATTGCTTGACTGCTTGTGTGTTTGCTGGTCTCCTTGTTCGTCTGCTTGCTCACAGGCTTGCTTGTTCCCATGTCTGCTTACCGGGCGGCCTGCTTGCTGGTTGTCTCTTTGCTTGGTGGCTACCTCGTCTGTCTGCTACTGTGTCGTCTCCGCAGGACTATCAGTCTGGAAGTTGGTAGTAGACTCCCTTGCATGCCTAGGACTATCTAGCACCTGCCCCTACCATGCCTGTATCCTTATAAACCCATCAATGAAGGATTGCTTGAGAGAGAGAGAGAGAGAGAGAGAGAGAGAGAGAGAGAGAGAGATAGAGAGAGAGAGAGAGAGAGAGAGAGAGAGAGAGAGAGAGAGAGAGAGAGAGAGAGAGAGAGCCCGTGGCCTCCATCCACCCATTCGCTTGGCAGCCGACCACGACATCTGCACACAAGCAAGCGCTGGTTAGTCCCTTTTTTTTTTTTACGTCCAAAACACGCACAAGAACATGTGCTTACCATTTGGGAAGTCACCCTTAGGCAGAGTCTTGCACTTGAAAAACACCCACGGCTTCAACTTCTCGCCCGTCGCCGTGCACGCCAGCATCACGGTGACTCTTTCTTTCTGGTAACCAGCGCTGCGGATGGGCACCGACTTCACGCCCATCTGCTCCACGGTGGTAGTGGCTGTCAGAATAATGAACGAGAATGAATGAACTAGCAAAGAGTTGGGTACAAGTACTAACCCTAATTGGGTTGTACCCCTTATGGGCTACCCCACTATAGCCTACACAATATAAGCTATACAGCATTTTGACACACCCCCATAGGCAAAGTGGGGGAGAACAAGTGGTCACAAGACCAGTCAAGAAAAGCAAAGCAAGCTCGGGGTGGATCACAAAGTCACCACACAGTCCGAGCACAAGCAAAGGGCCACAAGGCCAGTTCACATGCAGAGTTATATAAAAGAGAACAAACAATACAGTGATCATACCCTAGCAAGTGTAAGCATGCAGGTATATATAGAGATCACAGTACAAGCAAAGTCAAGCAGTGAGCAAGTGAGGCAAAGTAGGCACAAGGCCTAACACAGTAGAGAAGCGCTGATGATCACCAGGCGGAAGTGGCTTGGTGAATATATCAGCAGTGTTGGCCCTAATTGCCACGTACGCAAGACGAAGCTGACCATGCTGCTGCAACTCTCAAGCAAGGAAGCATCGCAGAGCGATGTGCTTCGTTCTGTGCTCCAGTCTGTGCTCCTGACACAAGGCAATCATGGCCTTGTTGTCTACGTACAGAACTGGAGGCGAACGAGGCTGCTCTCCCAAGTCAGCCAGCAGGTAGGTGAGCCAGCGTAGCTCCTGTGCAGCCATGGCCCCGGCGTAGATCTCAGCCTCACAACTGGAGCTGAGAACCGAAGACGAGCGGGTAGACCGCCATGAAATAGAGCCGGAACCGAGGCTGAAGGTGTAACCCTGTGACGACCGCTGCGTAGCTGAGTCGTCAACCCAGGAAGCGTCTGCGTGACCGGTGAGTACAACTGGACCCCGTCCTCCAAGCACGAGCCCCATGCCTGACGTACCGCACAAGTAGCGCAGTACCCTCTTCGCAGCATCCCAGTGCACCTTTCGGTGCCTACCAGGAGCCACGTAGCGAGCCAGAAGGCTGAGAGGGTACGCGAGGTCAGGTCGTGTGCACGTCATCAGGTACATGAGGAAACCCACAAGCTCTGGGTACGGACCACTCGGCTCTACGGACTCTTCCGAAGGTGGAGCTGAGAGCAAGTGGCTGGTAGACAGAGGAGTGGGCTGTGGCGAGGAGAACTGGAAGCCGAAGCGCTGAAGGACCTGGTGCACCATGTGTGACTGAGTCAGGGTGATGGTGCGCCGTGCTCTGTCCCGGGTGATCTGCAAGCCAAGATAGCTGCGCAGTTCATCCAGGTCAGTGCAGGTGTGTCTCTTCTGCAGCTCCGACTTCACAAGGGTCAGTGCCTCAGTGTAAGCAGTGGCAAAGACGAGGTCGTCGACGTACACGAGGACGTAGAACGGCGGCAGCGAGGTGTCGGTGCGTAGAAACAGCGACGGGTCAGTAGTAGAAGGAGCAAACCCAAGAGCCGCAAGTGTAGTCCTCAGTGTATCGTGCCACTCACGAGGCGCCTGGCAGAGGCCGTAGATTGGCCGCCGGAGGCTCCACTAGGTACCTGCAGGAAACGACCCAGTGAAGCCAGGTGGGCAGCGCAGCCAGATCTCCTCGTGCAAGCTGCCCTGCAGGAAAGTTGTGCTGAAGTTCAGAGAGTGCAACTCGTAGTCACGCTGAGCAGCGACGTGCAGCAAAACTCGAAGAGTAGTCATCTTCGGGGTGGGGGAAAAGTTCTGGAAGTAGTCAACCCCCTGTCGCTGATTAAAGCCTCAAGCAACGTAACGCGCCTTGAAGGCAGGTGGAGAACCCGGCGGCCGCTTCACCTTGAAAATCCACATGCCATCGACTATGTTCGCCCCAGGTGGGGGAACCTCGTCGACATAGGTGCCTGTGGACTTCCAGGATGCCATCTCGGCATCCATGGCTGCGTGCCACTGAGAGGAGTAAGGACCCCTAATCGCCTCTGCGTAAGAGCGCGTGGTCGGGATGTCTGGAGCATCCGAGTCTCCCTCAGGGGCAAGCAGCATGGAAGCGAAACGAGGTACAGCAGCTGCAAGACACTCAAAGTCCTCCTGCCTGTCCTCAAGGACGTCCGTGCCAAGAGCACACTCACCCGCGACGGACGGAGGACTGGCAGACGCAG